TCCCAACAATTGTGCCGGGATCCGCCCAGCTGCGTGAGTGACAGCTGGCTCTGCCTATCTAGAGACAGAGCCAGCTGTAACCGCCCCCTCCCCCGTCCGTTCCGCCAGTCAGCGCTGGAGGATCGGAGCGGGGAGGGGGGAATCCAGCCCCTCCCCTGTCACGGCTCTCTGCAGTGAGAGGATCGAGAGGTGAGCGAACGCCGATATGTGTTCGCTCACCTCCCGATCTACTGAGCCGACCTGTGACAGTCTCATTGTCACAGGTCGGCTAGGACTATGAGGTGAGTGAAAAGGACTCGCCTCATAGTTCTCCTTTAATGTTTTCTTGCACACAGCCAAGTTGCCTCCTGCATCAGACGCAGGTTGCTTCTTAACGGCTGTTGTGATTGTGCCACCAATATGATCCTTGCCACTCTTGCCGTGTCATGACTTGGGTGCAAAATAGAAAGGAAGAGATGCCTGTCAGCTGTACCAGAGGGACAACCTCCTGTATGTTTTAAGGGACAAAATGGCTGCATACCAAAGGAGGAAGCAGCAAAATGACGTCTGTGCATGAACGTCATGGAACCAAACCTAAACTTTGGATTTGGACACTTCAGCTGCCCTGTCACCCTCTACATAGGACAAGCAGCTTTGTTCTTTTGGAGGTCATCTCTAAGGACTGGAAGGGGAAAGGAGTGGAGTGTGGGACATCCAAAGAGGAGTCAAATCTTTGCAGCTCTATAATCACTGGAAGGTTGTTGTTCTCTATATGGGATTGCCAGGAGAACTGAAAATCCTGTTTGTTGGGACCTCTCCATGCAGTAAGAGAGACAACCGCCCCTCATGCAGTGCCTGGGTTTTTCAGATATATATCTGCCCTTACAGATTTCATTGCAGGACCATCTGCTGGTGAAATCCGGTACTGCAGTGCGTCAGTGAAATGCAATATTTCTGCATTAGTAAGTCTTTAGGCTGCCAAATAACATAGGGAGCATTAGGACTGAGGTCCCTGTTTAGTGGGGATTGTGGGAGGTAAGGGCTCATGTTAGGAGCATCAACCAAATATAGGATTTACATTTCTCTTGGAAATAATAATGGAAACCTGTGCTCAGAGAAATATTCACTTCTAACCTTCCCCTGAAAATACAAGATGATGGGTGTCTTTACCGTCAACTGATCCAGATGTGTGTGAGGAGCGCTACAAAAAGAAGAGGCTCCAAGTATAAAAAGTCTGCTTTATTATGCAAAGTCATAAGCCAACACCTTTCGGTGACTGATAGTGTCCCCTTCATCAGGGACAATTAAAATGGAGCTGGGCTGACAGTAGGATTCACACATCAGAGTGTGGCACTGTGAGTGAGCTTCAGATGTGATTGTAGATGCACAGGGTCAGAGTGGTCAGCCAATTCACAACTTTCAGGGACAAGATCAGAGTCTGCGATTCTATGACTGGAGATCGGGGGTAGGCAACCATGGCATTCGAGATGTGGTAAAACTAATAGGGATGCACCGATCGGGGCCGGATTTCCAACAAGGCCAACCAAGGCCCAGTCTTGGGGCAACAGGGAGTAGGGGGGCAGCAGGGGTGTGCAATTTCCATCTCCTGACGCCCGGGACATGCAGTTCCAGGCGCCGGGCGGGTAATTGTTTTCTACATTTAGCCCTGCTTTGGGCAAGCAGAGCTAAATGTACAGCGTTGGAAGCTGTCGCTCGTTTTGTACAAGTGATCCCGGCGATGTCGCTGAGATCACTTGTATGCAGAACCTGGCCTTGGGGCAGCAGAGAGAGTAAATCCGGCCCTTGCACCGATACTGTTTTTTTCGGTACTCGCCAATACTGAATACCGAAAGTCCCATTAAGGAAGCCAGGCGGCGTGTAAAGACTCGCCACCCGGCTTACCGATTAGCAGGGAAGCTGTCTCCATGCTTCCTTGTCGCCTGGTGATGAGGGGAGCATGGAGCCGGCTTTCTATCCAATCAGGAAGCTGGGCGCTGTGTAATGACGCAGCGCCCAGCTTCCTGATTGGCCAGAAAGTCGGCTCCATGCTCCCTCGTCACCAGGTGATGAGCATGAAGCTGGCGCCGTGTCATTACACGGCGCACTGCTTCCTGGTTGGCCAGCTTCCCGACCAATAAGGAAGCCGGGCAGCAAATCATTACACGCTGCCCGGCTTCCTGATTGGCCCGGAAGCCGGCTCCATGCTCTTTCGACACAAGGAAGCCGGGTGCCGTGTAATGACTCACTGCCTGTCTTCCTGATACCGGAAGTATCGGGCTAGGCATTGCAGCATTTGGGTGAGTACGAGTACTCACCCAAATACTTGGCATCGGCACCAATACTAGTATCGGTATCGGTGCATCCCTAAAAATTACAAATCCCACCATGCCTCTGCCAGTGAGAGTCATGCTGGTGGTTGTCTAAGTCCTGCAATGCCTCAATGAATGCCGAGGTTGCCTACCCCTGTTGTAGATGTACAGGATTGGAGTGCATGTGGGGCTACAGGGGATGGTCATCCAATTCAATACTAAGTCACTAACCTAGAAAAAGTAAGCAGCCATTGAAGTCTACTCCTGATTTGCATGCTTGTCTATGATTGGTTACCTAGCTGGTATTAAAGAGACCGGATTAACATGACAGCCAGGCACCTAGTATTTTCAGATGTAGAGCTCAAAAAAGAGAACCTCCATATTTATCCTGGAACTGGTTTCTTTGAGGCGCAGATTTCTGCATTAGGGCAAGGAACGTGTCATTAAGCAAACAGGTAGTGCTAAACCCAGGAAGAGCAAGGAAGACACGGGTGCCAGTAGCCAATCTCTGAATTGGAAGCACTTTGATAAATATAATTTATTTACACTCTCCCAGCATCCCAGCTAAAGGCCTGTGTGTCCTCTAACTACCCTTCAACATTGTGCAGCCAGCATCTGCAAGCAGAAATACTTGTACTGCTATCTGATCGATGACATTATTTACAGGGGGGGAAAAAAATGTCAGTAGGTAGACCCGCTCGCAAAAAGAATCATTTATTATCTGTAAAGTGACTTCGGGATTCCATTTCATTTATCACAATACAAGGAGAAAAATAAACCCCGTCAGCTATTAAAAAAAATAATTCACGGATGTGCCTAACCCGCCCGAAAACATCGCCCCGCCGCCTCAGGAGACTGGCACTTCAGGTGGCGATTGGCAGTTATTCTCCATCACGTCAAAAAACTAGACTGTCTCTGTCTAAATATTCAACAGTCGCACCGTCATTTCATTGGGAATATAGAATGGAATCAGGGAGGAGTTTTATTTGCATTAAAAGAGAAAAAATAAGATTTAAAAGAACAATTTGGATGTATAAAGTAAATGCTTATGTCCCATGACTGACCCAAATTTACCCCCAAACCTCCCTATCATCCCACCCTCTAGAGCAGTGGTTCTCAACCTGTGTAGCCTCAGGACCCACATTTGTCCTCGGCCATTAAGTCGCGACCCAAGTCGCACTGCAATGGAACGCACACATTGGGTACTTCGCATTCTAGTGCGGGCGTACAAACTGTGGCTGGGAGGTGCATTTGTGGTACCATTAAAATGAATGCCGACGCAACACCTCCCACACCAGTATGCATGGTAGGTGCAATTGCGTGGTACAGTGCGTTAATGACATGGTACTATGCAAATAATGCACGGTACTAGTGTGAATGGGCCCTCAAAAACACTGACATACACAAACACAGACAGACAGACAGACAGACAGACAATCTCACACACATACCCCCAATTTTTCTTATCCACCTATTCTCCCTACCTTATGAGAACTGGAGTGGATCCTCAGCCTGGGGTCCATTGGGGGCTGCTGTGCTGCGATGCAGCTCCATTCATATGTGCATTGCTAGTACAGCTGCTTTGTGTGCCCTGTAGAGGTGCCGGGAGCCAGAATGTGATGTCTCTCTGGTCCAAACACCTCTATAGGACACGTGAGGGAGCTGTAAGCAATGCATGCGTGGAGCTCCCTCACGGCTATAGCCCCATCCTATCTTAAGCTGACACTGGGGCCGGGCAGCATATTTTGAATGGCTGCTTGGCGCGAGAACTGACAGTGCTGTGCTAGGGGGAGGCAGAGGAGCCTCTCACCTAGAAAAGTAGAAGGCATGCGGTAACCCACAGAACACAGGGTCGTGACCCACTTTTGGGTCACGACCCACCAGTTGAGAACCAAGGATGTAGACCTAATCCCAGCATTCATTTTTTTACCTTAATCCTTTAGATTTTTTCACTTCCTGTGACATCATCACCAGGCTTGTAAAAGTCTTGCAGGGGCAGCTACTGAGAGAGGCCAGTTCCTATTGCCACCATAGCTACATCTCCCAGGAGCCCTTTACCAACAGACAGTGTGTGGACAGGCTCTTGAGACATCAACGCATGCATGTGGAAAGGGCCAGAGAGTGATAAAGGGGGGATTAGGCCAGGTTTTTTAGGCCTGACGGTGCTGGTTGGGATTTCAGTGCAGCAAAGACACTGCGTTACAGATCAACAGTATTTTTCTGTACTTGACACATTATAAAAAGGGATAAAACATGGGGAAATGATCATGTATTGAAGAGCATGTACTGCACACATTTTTATGTCCTCACATACATCTATATCTTATTTAGAAGCATGTTACTTTGGGATTGATTTAGAAAAACTGGGGCAAATGTAGACTTGTTACATGGGGCACTTAAATTCCATTTCCTGGTGGAATAAAACTGACAGCCTCCTATGGGCAGCCGCTCCAGGTTTCTTTACTCCACTTTTCCTAAATCAGCCTAATTTCTTATAAGGGCTGTGTTCCAACCGAATAAGAATCTCATGACCAATGCTACCCCTTGCCTTTCTACACCCTCCTGCTGCTGTGCATTGGCAGTTGAAAGCAGCAGTAATTTCCAGTGGGATGACAATACTGTTTGTTGATATAATTCTGTGAAACACCCCTAACATGAGAAGATGTGGCTCCAGACACACCGCAAGGTGGGCCAGAGTTTGGAAGGGTCTTTTTGATGGTAGGCAGTGTTTTTGCCACCAAGCTTGTCTCAGGAGATGGTGGAAAACTCTTTCAGTAGTGTCTCTTGGCTCAGCGTGTTGAAGGCAAGGTGTTTCCGTACGTTGATACTTATCGATCGAACCTGAAAAACAGAAATGCAAAATTTAGAACTAATTGGAGCTTTGGCCAAAATACAAGGATACCCAAAATATTTGCCTGTCTAGCAAAAACCACTGCTTCAGACTCTTATGGGGACCTCATGGGTCATGTGACCAAATATCAAGGCTTTGTCATATGATCTCTTTTTAAAGGTCTTGTGTCCAGACACAGCTAGACAATGGTCTTTCCTTTCATCAGAGATCATGTAATTATGCGCTTTGGCATTTGGTTATATGGCTGGCCACCATGAGAGCCAAGAGCAGCTTTTTCTGAATGTCAGATATTTCAGAACTTTGTTTAACCTCTATAATTTGAAGACGATAAGACAAGATCGCAAGGCAGCATTTTATACTGCTAGGCCTCATGCACACTGAGCTATAAGCTGTTGCTGAGGATTCCTGGGGCAAGAACCTGCAGAATCTTGTGGCAGGAATCCCAGGTGAGTCTGTATAGATGCGGCCGGTATGCCTGTTCAAGTGAATAAACAAAGGAACACGGAGGGCGCAACAGCAAACACTACAATGGAGCACTAACTGGTTGGACTGGGATATCCATGGCAAAGACTCAATGTACTGATAAGAAATTAATGGCAGAGAATCAATGCAATGGTACTTACATGTGGGATATATATGGCAGAAACTCAGTGTACTGATAAGTTAGTGCTCCATTGTAGTGCTTGCTGTTGCGCCCTCCATGTTCCTTTGTTTATCTGTATCTACAGGTTCTCCTCCTGTTCCCAGGGCTGCACACACGTTTGTCAGTTAGCCTCCCCATCCGAGAGCGCTGTCTATGTTTTTCTGTTCAAGTGAATAACAGACTCACAGCGGCCGCATATGTTCATGGCTGTCTGCATGCAATTATTCATGGAATGATTTCGAATAGTAGATATGGAACCGGTTGGGATTCCTGCTGCATGAATCCACAAGTTCTTGCCACAGGAATCCTCAGCCGCAGCTAATATCCCCATGTGCATGAGGGCCTTATGGGCCAACTTTAAAATGAAGCCCTGTTGAAATAATAAAATGCAACTAATTTACGAACCTGACCTATATAGAGACCTTCTCCCCACCTCCTGCAATGAGTGCTCAGCACCTGAGCAGCCAACTTCTCACGGTCACATGGAGTTGGAGGGAGATCCATTAGCACTTTGTGAGCTCCAATACAGCACTTACACAGGGCTTTCTATTCAGGGCTACAACAGGCAAATGGGGCAGGATAGGGGGAGTGCAAGAAAGGCAAGTATTAGTGGGAAAGGTAAGTATGAGCGAGAAGACGGGTAGGGGGCTATCAAGGGAACCTGCTAACCACGCTACATCATGTTGACTGCAAAAATGGCTTACCTAGAGCAAAACACAGGGTGCTCCTACTTATCATGGAAGAGTTTCTTTCTTTCCATAACTCAGATTTGCCCAGCGGGAGGTGAAGGAGTCTCACATAGAAACAGCAGTCAGATGCATATTAACAATATAAAAGGGGATTTGCTTTTGTGAAAGGCTTACTTTTTCTAAAATCTTATTTTATGCGGCCATTTTTTATACAAAAAGTGCGTAGTGGATGTTTTCTATAAAGGCTCCTTGACCCAGGTAACTGCCAATCAGTTGTACTGGGGACATTAGAGAGATCTTAGAGGGTGATAGTGGCTAGGTGCCACTGCCACCATCAGCTCCAACCTCAGGAACCAGATGAAATATATGGAATTCCTACTGCGCCACCTAACTGTGTGGCCTTTCACAGCTGGCACCCCCCGAAAACAACTGAGCAATATGGCTTATCCTCCTTGGCCTAAGTTCTTCAACAAAAGGGTCCGTCACTTTCCTGATGTGAAGAGCCACCCTTTAATTGGCTTACCAGTTCTTTGAAAAAGGTGGCTTCCTTGTGCTGCTCAGAGTATCTCTCGTACTGGTCAAGGCCATCCTGCAGTTTCAGCGTCAGTGTGTCGTAGTTGGATCGTACAACTTCCAATACCTGGTCAACAGACAATACAAACATATGGTTTCTTAAAGCAGATGCATGAACGGGTTTTTATCTTGTACTGCAGAGAGTCCAATAATGAGGGAAACAAGGACACTTTATAAGGAAAGCTATTGAAAACCAGATACAGTTTCAATATTTCTGTCAGAATGCATTAAAAAAAATGTTTAAAAAATATAAAATATGACCCCATTTATCTGTTGTTCCACCCCCCCTACGACTGTTGGTTATTATAAGAAGAGTGTCCTGCCCCATCTTTTAGATGCAGCCAGGAGACTCATTCCCAAATACTGGAAACAACCCAAGGTACCAGATAGGTCTGACTGGATCTCACAAGTATCAGTTGTTCAGGAGGTGGAGGAATGGGTCGCGAAGTGCCGAGGTAGATCTGACGTCTTCTACTCTAAGTGGGCGGTATGGTTACACTATGTGTTTCACTTACCGTGACCTGCACACTTGCGAGCCTCATTAAGTTATTAAGTTCTTCTTCAGTTTTTGTTTTTTATTATTATTCAGATGCGTATATTATTCACTTGCAATGGAATCCTCCCTTACATGTCCTATTTGCATAACGTCAGGATAACTGGGTGCCTATTAGCTTAAACTCTAGGTAGTGCCCGGTGCACCATCTCCATTCTACCAGTTCGAGCCTGTTGGATAGGTGTGGCTGATCGCCCGATTACTGCTGTGTCATTTTGTATGTCATTTTTGAGGGTCTTTGTTCGTCCCATTTATGTCCTCTATTTGTGTCTTTGTGATCAAAATTTTGAAAAACGAAAATAAAGATTATACAAAAAAAAAAATATATAAAATATTATTGTAAAGAAATAGTTAGGGATCAGCACTAAAATGGAGACACCACACCCCTGATTACAATCGTAAAACAATTTTACGATTATATAAAATATTATTTTTCTTTGTTGTTGGTGGAATTTGCAGTCTTTTACAATCTGGGGCAAGTCGCAAAACACACAAGGATTTAATTGCAATTCATTTATGTAGGAACAAAAAACCAAAAGGGTCCGGACCGCAATGGTTGTCAAAGGTTATAGATAAAGACTTAAAAGGGTATTATAAGAACCACCGGGGACCTTCAAAAACAATATGATTCTCTACCGACTCATGCTGAACATTTCCAAGGATACCAACCCATTGTCATAGACTAGACTAATACCACCAAATGTGATGGGTTCTGTGCGCAGTATAAATGTTAATACTTTTGTTAATTATGAAAAAATAAAAAAAATAAATATGAAAGACTCATTCCCAGCACTGAATCACACAATGACAATCTTGTCATAAAGAACACCCACCTTCAGTCCGGACTTCACTCACACCATAGCTACCTTCTGCTATGAACCATGTAAATTCCCTAACTAAGAGCAACAATTCAACATCTTGATCTCCGATTGGTTCAAAACTAGGGATGCACCGATACCAGTGGCAATACTTGGTATTTTCAGGAGAACTACCAGGGTTGCAGCGGTTGCAGCTGGGACCTGGTTCTGGCGCTCCACCACTGTCCTGAAATCATTAGTCTGTATTGTTTTAGAAAAACTGTCACATGACACTAAACAAAAATGTATCAGTACTTGTATCTGTGAGTACTTGGGCAAATATTAGTACTTGCACTTGCAAAAATGGTATCGGTGCATCCCTTAAATATATTTATAAAAACATCATCATACATTAAAACAGAGATGTACAAATCCCAGGAGCTCCGTGTGCTCCTTACACATGACAGCTGCTTCCTAACTTTTGTATTTTTCTCTAGTCTAGTCTTGGAGCTGGAAAAGTATCTGTACTTGTACTGAGTACGCTACTTGGTATCGGTGCTTCCCTATTCAAAACCTTTTTCTATAGAGCTGCACAATATCGCACTGTTAGTATGAAAGAAACATTCAGAATGTGAAAAAGAATATAATCCCCAACAATGAACGTTTATCAGCTCAGGGCCTACCTGACAAATTTGTCACAGAGTTAAAGGCCAGGTTTACCTTTCTGACCATGTTTCATGTTATACCCATATTCAAAATAAAATCTACACACACACTTGGATCTTGCCAGTGGAGCCATAATTTGTCCACTTGCAAGCGGGCCAGCAAAAATGTACTTACAGAAAATGTTCTTGGCCTGATTGCAACCATCACATGTAAGGAAGCTGCAATATATTCCATGTTGCTGTCCTTTAAATCCAAGCTGTAGAATGACAGCCAATTAGCTAGCATTCTCAAAAACAGAGCTGAGGAATGGCGGCCACCATTAAGTTCTCATGACAGATTTAGGCTTTGTGTATATGGAGTTATATCAAACAAGGCACAACATCATCCCTTTGGATACGCATGCTTCTAAAAGCCTTCACCCAATTGGCTGCCCAGTGTCATGTGAGAAGTTCTCAGCTACAGGAGCTAGAGATATCTGCAGTTTCTTTCTTGTGTGATTTTGTCTGTGTACACATGCTTTTAACCACCACTAAACACATGTGCTGTATATTATCCATATGGAGATCAGTATACATCATTTTAAGGTACGTTTATCCTTTAAGTTGGTTCTGCAAACTTGTAGGAACTTTTGCATATATTGTACAAAATTTAATTAATCTTATGGAAGAATTGTGTTTAGGATTTAGTGGCTCTTAAAATATAATAGTATGTTATTCACAGCGGCCAATCATCTTCATGGAAATGTAAGAGGATACTTGCAGCACTTGAGTAATTCAGTAGAATTTCAGCTGCAAAAATAATGACCATCATCTTTTCAAAATGTTTCCTGTGTCCATTAACAGATAAATGTAATTATGTGAGGTGGATTGATTCCAGGCTGCCCACATACTGGCAATAGAAAGGACTCTCTCTACATCTCAGAGGCATGTCTGTCTCCACTCACTGACATATTATATTCCAGAGGTGATTGCAGGTTAATACGGTGATAGAACACCAGTGAATCAGTCATAGCTCCATGTTACTGCACAGAGAACAGAGTGGAAGGCTGGATTTATTGGAAGTCGTGCAATTGTTTTTAACTTTCACCGTGGACAGGAATACTGCTGGCATTGAGTTTAAACTTCATAGGCAGAAAGCCAAGCTGAAAAGGGATAAAGAGACAGAGGCGGGAGTCCAGAGGCATAACAATATGGAGGCTGTGGTCCAGAGGGATAAAGAGATAGATGCTGGGGTCCATAGGGATAAAGAGATGGAGGACGGAGTCCAGAGGCATAAAGAGACAGATGCTGGGGTCCATAGGGATAAAGAGATGGAGGACAGGGTCCAGAGGCATAAAGAGACAGATGCGGTATCCATAGGGATAAAGAGATGGAGGCTGGGGTCCAGAGGGATAAAGAGACAGATGCTGGGGTCCAGAGGGATAAAGAGATAAAGGCTGGGGTCTATAGGGATAAAGAGATGGAGGCTGGATTGTTATGCTTATCCAATGGATGAATATTTCCATGAAGCTGGTGAAAGGTTCTGGATTCTCTATTACCTCACTAGATGTTTCTTGCCAGTCAGTGACTGAACTGGAGATAGCCAGGCAGCTAGCATTTATAGGATAAAAAGCCTAAACAATGGTGCTTTCAGTTAGAATTACTAAAGGATGGTACACAATTGTTTGTATCCATGGAAAATATAGGACTGCTTAGGACTGCTAGCTACGAAGGCAGGATTTTGTTTTTCCACCAGTGGTTTCTTCAACTTGTTGGCCACTTTTGCGACTGTTCAAAATGGCTGCCTCCGCCAGGTGTAACCATCAATGCCCACCCACTCAGACACACATACATAGAAGATTGAAAAGCACATCCAATTCCCATTAAGGTCTGTGACATCTTTGATGGGGAAACACGTGTTGGCCACTCAGGCAGAAAAGGATCAATACCAAAATGAAAGGTTTTCCGTGGTGGTCTGCTCGGTCTCCATCATTTTACTGATAACGAAGAAAAACAAAACATGAAGGAAATCAAATTGCTAATAAGGATTTCTGCGATGCTTGGTGAATTCCAAGCAGCCTCTAACCAGCAATAGGCAAATGAACAAGCAGCGAATGTTTTTAAAGTCATATGTGCGGCCACAAAATGATGTTTGTTGATTAGTAGTTCCCAATCTCCGTGTTGTGTAACGCAGAGTCCGGGGAGCGGTTTCAGTCTGGGATTTATGGGGTGAAACGTATTGCTCCTATTCTCCAGATCCTCCTAATAGGCAAAGCAAAGGCTATGATCTGCATTCAGATATGTCTGGTGGGAACAATAGTCCTTTTTTACCTAGAGCAGGGGTGCCCACAAGGTCGATCGCCATCTACCAGTCGATTCCCCTAATATTTCCCGGAAGCCCCCCCAAGAGTAAAAAAAAAAAAGAATTATGAAAATTTAAAAAAAAATAATGAAAATGAAAAAAATAGTAAAAAATAAATTAAAAAAACGTTGTTTTTTTTCCTTGCCTCAGGCGCAAAAGGAGCTGGCTACGGCTATGCTCCCGTGGTGCTCGTGCGGCTGCCGGCTGAATGTGTCAGACGCTGCAGATGGAAAGGTGCAGGACACCCCATGTGCAACGTCGGCCACACGAGCACCACGGGAGGACAGGACGCCGGGACATGTAATGTACTGGAATGCACTGGAATGTAAGCCGGCCGACTCCCTGCGTTCAGGTGCGGGAGGGGGTGTGGAGCTGTATTGAAGTCAATGGCATCGCCCACAGTGCGATCTGCAAAAATAGTGCTCACAGCATTTTTGCGGATCGCACTGGACTGGAACACAGGCACTAATGCAGGCGATCGCACTGTGGGTGAGGGGCCTGCCTGCGCAGCCTACGCCCCCTCCCGCCCCTGAATGCAGGTGTTTTTTCGTTGGTAGATCTCAATGAGCTCGTCATTTGAAAAGTAGATCTCCAGACGAAAAATAGTGGGCGCCCTTGACCTAGAGAATGGACGTGACCCTGAGCATTTCTTGTGACATTACAGGAGGGGTTACAAAGACATGTAGCTTTACTTCAATCTCAATTGTATTC